TTAAATCGGATGATAACCAAACAAAACAATGAAAGAAAACTGATTCTTATTTAATAATAGAAAAAGAAAACAGTTTTCTTCAAAAATGCAATACAGAATGTGACTTTCGTGATTCATTTGCTATTATGATTTCGATGAATACATAAATCTTCCACTAACACGAAATTATTGAGAAATTCTACTGTTGCCAATTTATACCATTTCTAACGAACCGTAGTTGTTGGCACCTTCTCCAAATATGAAATTCATAATTCATGTCCACCCTCTGGATGTACTTAATACGTCTTTCACATTTCCTAGAAAGATACTTTTTAAATATATAGTCACAGTTTCATTTCAAATAATTGTTCATTACAAAAATGTGTTTGGATTTATTCTTTATCAATTGACACGTGCGAATGCACTCATGGAATATATCAACCAAGTTTGAACAGATAGTAGATATTTAACAGAGATGAATATTCAACAAACACCTGAACGTGTTTTACGACATAAAGTTAGGAACGATAACCTAGAGGACCGTTATTAATTACGTCCCTTTGAAGCTTCGAGTAGTCCACTTAACCGAAATTAGTTGTACTGGAAAGCTGAAATTGTTTACAACATCGCCAAAAATAGTTGTGGCATATTGGTATGATGTGTCGGCAGTGGTAACTTTACACTATGTACGACAAGGGTCGTGCAATACCAAAATACAAAAAGTATCCGATTGTTAGACATTGTCAGGAAATTGTAAAATTTACAAAATAAATGTTTCAGCACCAAGTTACATTTTTAATGCTTCAAATCTGTGCTTTTGAACATCTTTAGAAACAAAGTATGTTGATTTGTAAAAAGATATGTTAAACTGTAGCCTTCTTTTTTATTTTGCTTTATCATCTGAGAGAGAAGTATTCATATTGGTTGTTACCTATATAATTTTGATACGGAGCAAACCGCCTACACATCAACTCAACACACTCTCTTTCACAAACACACACACACACACACACACACAAACACATCTCTTCATCTCTTGACCCGCATCATTCTCTCTTACGATGATCATTTGCTCCGACAAAATTTAGATTGTTTGAAATAACTTGTATGTGTCACGTTCATTAATTTTCTTTCGTGGATATATGAAGTCGTTAGGCTGTTTGAATTATTTTCTTAATCACTCATTTGACACAGTTTATACAGTTACTGAATGCCCTATATGAATATTTCATTACCAGAGAGCGTAGTTCTATTTCCCAAATCGGGCTGGTCTTTCTGCTGCAAAGGGAAATCGGTAGCTTTGCCAAGCTGAATGAGGCAGCCACAAGGGAAGAAAGTATCGGGTAAATGCAACATTTACGAAGCATTTGGATAGGCTATGATCTTTCGAGTACCTCTGGTATTCGACGTACTAATTGCACTGAATTAATCTTATAAATATATGCATATATGAATCACAATTCAAATTATTACCATGAACCGAGTTCCTAATCTATGCGGACAAATATTCTTGTGATATCATAACCTTGACTGCAACCTTCAAAATTTCCCTTTCGCTTATTACAGTCCGGACCATTTTTTACAGACATACTCAACGCCTTTGAATCAGAACATTGTAGTAGAGATCTTCAATATATGAAAGATTAGGGTTAAAATTAGGGTTAACCTTCTCCCGTCAATACAAATATGAACACATGCGACAAGCTATATCATCACAAATGTTTGGTGATATGTTGGCAATATTTTAGAATTCATTATATATCTGACTGATTTATTTATTTTAAAAGGGTTCATAAGTCCATTTTGAGTGATATTCACATTTTGCTGAATTTTACATCTTTCCTTGCCTGTCTACAGTATTCACCATAATCCAGGTTCTTCAACAATTATCTTTACCAAGATATCGTTGCAGCGACTTACAAATCTCTATAACAACTAAATATTCACAACATCTAATCAAAAGAAATCCTTTAATTTCATGATCTTTCTGAGGAATCTGATATTTTTAAATTTTATGGAAACTCATTTCGGTAATATTCTCCCCGATGTTGCTCTATAATTGTTCATGTCATCATTCAACATTCAGAGCAAATTTATCATGGCACAGCAGTCTTTTACGGTCCCAAGATAAAACTTGACAAGATGTCTGATTTGGAGTGTTTTGAGTTTTAAAAATATTTTGTTAGAAATCAAAAGTCAATGGGGTCAGTTTAATTTACTATATGTTTAAAAAACATATTAATGGTAAAATATTATTTAGAATTTTTGTAAATATTGATTGAAACAGCAAAACTAGACAACGTCTGGTGGGAACAGAATGCTTCCGCAAATTGATCTACAAAAATTTCCTCTTGATCTAATATTAACAATCATTATTGGGACATAACATTCTAGTGTTCTTGAAGTACAGTATCTGAACGTTCTATCTCTAAACATTAAAAGAGTATTTGTTTTAATTAACCTGAGTTATAACGTAAACATTTCACATACCAAAATTGACTATATAAAAAGCAATTAAGAAGATCTGAAGCGACTTTTTCACTTTGAACCATGGAATCAGATTATAAGTGATAATTTTCATGCTATCTATCTATCTATCTATCTATCTATCTATCTATCTATCTATCTATCTATCTATCTATCTATCTATCTATCTATCTATCTATCTATCTATCTATCTATCTATCTATCTATCTGTCTGTCTGTCTGTCTGTCTGTCTGTCTATCTATCTATCTATCTATCTATCTATCTATCTATCTATCTATCTATCTATCTATCTATCTATCTATCTATCTTGCTAGCTAGCTAGCTAGCTGCCTGCCTGCCTGCCTGCCTGCCTAGCTACCCATCCATATATATATATATATATATATATATATATATATATATATATATATATATATATATATATATATATATATATATATATATATATATATATATATATGACAAAATGTGGATTAATGGTAAATAAAGAAAGCAATTACATTATTGGAAAGTCTTAGGATGTATGATTTGACTGCAAGACATGCAGTCTACCGTAGTATACATACATCATTATAAAATGATCTAATATGAAAAATACACCAGTGAACAAAGAAAATAATCATGACGAAACGAAAAAAAAAAGTTTCTCCAAATGACATATATAATGCTCATAGGGAGTGAAACGTCGTACTTTATGTCATAATTTTCCTGGTTTTTAAGTCATTATTCCTCTGCCTAGAGAAAAATTTGGATCAAACGTCCCAGGTGGCATGGTTTCTTCTTTACATATCACTGACAATTCACCTTTCTCTGTTTGGGTTCGAACCTCGGGCCCGGCTAATGTGGGTGAGTGAGTAAGCTTGCAAGCAGTTACTACTGGTTGTTTCTGACGTTTTTCAGGATTCTTTCTCCACCAAATCTGCTGACCACCATGTTTAATCATAGTGTCCTATAAAATGACGTTAAACCTAGAACAACACATTAAGATCTCATAAATTTGACTTCACCTTGAGTCTCATACAAAATGAATTAAATCAGATTTCATCTATAAAAAAAAAATCATTCCCAATTATTTGACCTGAAATTAATTTAGACATCACTAAAAACTTCCACACTGTTGAAACTACCTTAAGATTCTTAATCGCACAATTTACACATTCTTCGAAATGCAACGAGAAAAAGAAAATTTAAAGGACTCATGATACTAATTCAGTTCCCATAGTAAACCTATGCAAACACAATGATATTTAAAAATTCAATAACTTAGAATTTCTGAGTGCTCATTTTTAAACCTAGATTGATCAGCATATATGAAACCTGGATGTCAGTTTCTGTGTAGAGAAAAGAATATCAGACGCGGTATTTTCTTGACCTGCATGTCTTTAAACCATGTAGTTTCAATTTCGCACCAAAGAGTCACGTGTTCATTTTAGTAATTAGTATTTCAAACTCAAGACTGTTCAAGGACTAAAGTTCCATCAATAAAACAATGTCTGTATTTTTTCACTTGCAACTAGGCTAAGATCTTTAAAGATTCCTTTTCCTAAAACATAACTTATATTATTAATCAATCCCGGCCAGCCAAACCCATATATACTCTATTTGATATTCACCCATTTCCAGGTTGGTTCCCATTTTAACATACAACTAGTATAGTGTATCCTGTAACGCAAACTTTCACATTTGAAATGGAAAGAACTATGGTATGGTTTATTTTTTATGTTTTCAGAACTTACCTCCCTTATGCAAAAGAAAATGGCAGTAAAAGAATTTGTAAATCCTATATGCATAAATGTGAAGAGTGAGAATTATATGGTACAATTACTTCTATAAGTATGGTGCTTTATTTTCTACCTGGTAATTAGTTAAATAATACAGCATTCCACTGTCATTACTGAGATGAAGAATTTACAAGAAGAAATAAATCTTTAATAGCAAGGATTTTCTATGAAATGGTTCCAAATTACGTGTATATGTGAGAGTGATTTGGATTTTTAACCTAGTTTAACAATTTTTCAGTCGTATCGCTGCAATACCTGCAGTGTGGCAGTTTATAGTGATGTCTAGAACTGGGGCGTCATGTCACAGACATGTAGGATCATGTCTCACCGAGTCACTTTATCCTAAAGCATGATAACCAATCCAAACACTAACTTTTTAACGCTGAGCGCCTAGCGAGGCAGCTGTTTGTAACATTTTTATACGTTTCCCGATCAGGTAACTAACAGACAATATTTGGCCCATTTTACCTGGACGATGGGCAACCTGGCAGTTTCTCCTATATGCGATCACCAAAATGTACCATTTTTAAGAAGGCACACTGAAGGAATGTCAACTTCTAAATCACAAATAGAGATATTAACAAATAGCTTGAATTGTGGTCTGTTTATATATGTAATTTTAATAGAAGTATCTTGAAATTCATTGAATTTATTTCAACTTGCAAACACCATGTAAAGTCAACGGTAAATCTGCCGTTTGACCACAAATATGGCGGTTGATGACGTCATTCGGAAACTATAAGTCTTTGGTATGACTCAGCCGAGGTTTCGAACCCGCGACCTCCCGCATCCGAGGTGGACGCTCTTACCACCATGCCACCGGAGCGGTGTTCCAAATTATATATAGTACATGAAGGAAGGTTGTCTGAAAGAAAACGAAATTCACTTCCGTAAAAATACAATATGTTGTACAATTCCGCAAAAAATCTACAGCTATAATCCTTCCTTTTTATAAAATACTGAAACTAATAAATTGATTGTCAACACTTTGAGTGAAACCATATTTGCAAGACGAAACTTATGTAGAATATAAAATTCACCGTATATCTTGTCCTAGAAGCTATGTAGACAAATCCTCATTTTGGAATAATCTCCCAAACCATGCATGAAAGTTTCCACTGCTTTCCTACAAGCACGGACGATATTTGGAAATTTTTTATATGTTAGTAGTTGATTTGTAACTCAAATAAACAACAACTATTGTCACTCGAAATCCTCGAAGTGTTGCACATTGAGTTTGTTTCTATTATTGCTAATTATATTTTTTACCATTCTTGATTAAATATATCACCAATTTCCAAAATCAATTAATGACTTAGAAGTAAGGTGAATATTATCAAATGTAACTGACTTGCTTAATTTCTATCTTGAATATAAGAGAGATATGATTGTAATACGTCATTATCAATAGTTACATTGATTTTACCTCTACGAGATTTTATAGCATTTAAAACATAGAAATGTGTTAGAAACTTGCATTTACTGACACCTCTCTCCTAAGTGACCCAAGAGTAATAATAATTTTTAAAATTGCCTCAAGTACAAAAAAAATCTTCTTAATCGTGCCAATCTTTAGAGAAGGTCAGTCTCTCCTACGACAAATATATTATTCGATGGTATCATAAATATGTCCTATTTTGGTTAGTTTTATTTCTAATAATAGTTTGTCTCCAGATAGAAAATTGTATCACTGTCTGAAGGATATCTGAACAATTTGATATTGTATCCCGGATAAATAAATAATGACATATAGGTGCAGCTACGAATATCTAAGATTTCGTGCAACAAGAAAACGTCTTATCTCAACAAACAGCGAACTTAATGTTGTATTTATGAGATCAGCGTTATGTCCAATCTGTTACTGTTTTATGAATATAATGCTCGCCTGCACAACGTGAAAATTTAAAAATGAAACTTATATTGTTATACATTACATAACAAATAATACTAACAGTCTCGATCACAAGTTTAAAAGTATAGAATGTTCCGAATGAATTCCAGGTTTTGATAGTAATGATGTACCTATAGCCTTGAATGAGCTGATGTGTCAAAAGCATTGATGCATTATAATGATATAATCCATAATGTCTCTGAAGGAATTCATAATAATCCTAGAATAGTTTTTGTTTTAGCAGAAGAATGTCATTGAACACGTTATGCTTCGAATTAATCATTTAAATAATTGACTCCAGGCAAATTATAATTGAACATCACAAAAATACTGATATTAAGATAAGAATGAATGATGTTGCTGATCTCAATGATGTTAAAACCATATTCAGTTCACATTTCCACTTATCCTATGTCGCAAAAACCTTTTCTAAAAACAAAACTTTATCATCTTAACGGAAACTTACCCTAAAATGTAAACAAGTTCTTTTCTAGAAATCTCTTAAAATCATAATCAATGGTGAGTCTTGAACTCAAACTAGCAAGACACAACAAAAGACTAGTCAAGTAGATATCTACTCTCAATTACAAACAAAAGTGAAGCCCATAATACAAATCAAATATACATAACGATATCAATGTTGGAAAAAATCAAGCCGATTTAGAGAAAACATATTCTTTTGGAACATGTTGGACAATAATAAGAAATTATATGAAAATTGCGAGGAGTCTAAAATTGTTATTCCACTGTATTCAAATTATTGTTTGACTCGAAGAGAAACTTTCTGAAGGAAAAATGTGTGGCGAGAGGGTGGGGGTGATATTAAAGTACATCGAGTAGATAATTTAAAGCTTGAATGTTCTCACCCCCTGTGGAACAATTTTAAGATTTTGCATTTAGAGAACTAATCAGTAGTGTAAATACCGTATGTACTTACTTAAAAGACGAGTCTAACTGCAAACTGCACAGACTTGTGACTGACAGCACAAAATGCTTCGACAGATCTGGTTATGTGCGGTTGGTACTAGTAATCAGTAGAACAAACAGCATAGATGCTTATCAATCAGCACATTATGTGTTCACAGATCAGGTCTAAGTTGTTTACAGTTGGATTAACCCTATAAGCGAGTAAATATGGTACCTACTAGTTTTGCTTGATTATCATCGATGCATGTTTTAGATTCATTTTCATGCACAGGCTGGACATTAATATTGCAAATTCTCCCACTTAGATAATTACTCCCATCAAAAATCATGCTACATAAAACTTTTTACAATTTCCTATTACAAGATAGATTCACTATATGAATGTCAGATAACTCGCCTTAAAGCGTATGACAAAATCAAATGAGCAGCACTTCATTCTGCACCATTTCACAATTAGTACCTTCTAAGCCAAATAAAACTGATGTAAGACTAACCCTGCATGTCCAGCCTACTTAAGGATGAGATGATAATTTAGTACAGCACCAGTATACCGTGTTGGCAATTTAGCCAAACAGGTGAGCGTGTTAATATCGATGTCGGGTACATTTGCATTAAAATAGATGAATAACCTTCTGAAAGTTGCAAGTTCATGACTGGATTCAAAAGAGCATATCGGAGGAAATTCGAGATCAAAAGTGATAACTTCCAGGAACTCACTTTCGACAATGCCGTTAGTGATCTCACTGACCCCATACCAAAAAGGATATGGATGAGCTGTAGCGATCGTACGGTGAGCTGAAATATTCACAAAGTAAGCTGCATAAATCGCGGAGTGAGAAAGATAGATCGTGGTGTGACGTGGTGTGTTCGTAGGGCAAGTTGAATAGATTTTAGGGTGACCTGAAATAATTTTTGGGTGAACAGTAGGAGACGATGGGATAGAATAATCACAGGCTGAGCTCTAGTATTTGTAGAGTGAGTTGGATTAATCTTTAGGTAAGCAGTAGGCGATGACTAGCTGGAGCGATCGTATGACCAGCTTGATTTTTCATAGGGTGAGTTTGAGCGACCGAATGGTGAGCTAGAGTATTAGTAGGGTGAGTTAGAGTAGTGGTAAGGTGAGCTGAAATATTCGCTAGGTGAGAAGTAGGAGAGGATGAGTTGGGGAGATCGTATGGTGAACTGTTGTATTCAAAGGGTGAGTTGGAGTATTCGTAGGGTGAGCTAGAGAGATCACAGGATAGATTGGAATAATCGCAGTGTTATCAGTAGCAGACGACAAACTGTAGCTATCTTACGAGATGGAGTATACCTACGGTGAGCTGGTGTATTCAAACTTGATTGATCCTATGGTGTGCTGGAATAATCGTAGAGTGAGCAGTAGCAGACGACAAGCTGGAGCTCTCTTAAGGTGAGATGAAGTATTCATGCGGTGAACTTGATTGATCCTATGGCAAGTTGGCATAATCGTAGAGTGAGCAGTAGAAGACGAAGAGCCGACACGATCGTATGGTGATCCGGAGTATTCGTAGGTGAGCTGGGATAATCGTAAGGTCAGCAGTTTGAGATCGTCGGGTGAGCATGAGTATACGTAGGGTGAACTATATATAGATCGTATGTTAATGCTTGGAAAATCGTAGAGTGAGCAGTTGGAGACGACGAGCAGATTCGATCGTATGGTAAGCTGAAGTATTCGTATTGTTGAGCTGGATGAGTCGTATGGTGAGCTATATGAGACCACGAGCTAGACCCTTCGTCGGGTGAGCTAGAGTAATCATAAGGTTTGCTGTAGTAGTCATAGGATGAGCTGGAGGGATTGTAGAGCGAGCTGGTGTAACCGTAGAGCAAGCTCGTGTAATCGTAGGGCAAGCAGGAGAGGCTTATTAGTTGAGGACAAGCTGGAGTGATCGATAATTAGTTCGAATGGTTATGAAATAATGGACAGTTCTGTCAGGAACGTGTTTATAAAGGTCTTTGTGTGTGTGTGTGTGTGTGTGTGTGTGTGTGTGTGTGTGTGTGTGTGTGTGTGTGTGTTATAAATACAAACTCATTATGACGGACTATGTTCCTTGCTTGAATTTATTTTGCTCATATAGAATTTGTAAACTTTGTCTTTACAATGGTTGAGTATCTTTCTACGTTTGATAATATAGAAGAGAAAAGATCCAAATAAAATTCAGACTAAAAGGTAACTGCTAGATGAAACATTCTGGCATGTCTTAAATAAACTTTGAATTTCCTTCTCTATTTTCATCTATACTTTATTCCGAAATGTACAAGCTACTTTGATGGATGATTATTGCAACTGAACAAGCTTTAAAGTATTGCCTGTTTCCCGATTTTTTTAAGATTACGCATGTTCAAGAAGCTGAACTGTTTTTCTTGCAGCCCTCACATGCACAACGACCCTTAAAAGTCGTACTATTCGGAAGACAGAAGTTCTAATTTCTTTCTTTTTTGAGAAAGGATAGTCATTGGATTGGTCGGAGGGGGTAGATTTAATATGGTTACACGAGTTATGCAACCTTTAGGAAATAAATGGGTTGGGGTTCGAAGTACCCTGTGTCTTATGGGAATGTAACATAACGGGTGTCACTGTAAGGTCTTGGTAATCTTGCATTACGTTGGTGTCAGAACAGTCTCGATTTGTACAGAGATAGTGAGTTCTAGGTTACCCCCTTGTATTGTGACCAATTTATTAACATTTCAAAAGACCGCTCCGGTGGTCTAATGGTTAAAGCGTCCGCTTCGGTTACGGGAGGTTACGGTTTCAGACCCCGGCCAAGTTATGCCAAAGACTTATAAAAATGTAATAACAGTTGCAGCGCTAGACGCTCAACATTAAGAGGTTAGAGTTAGAACTAGTAGGTCTGTTCTCGTCCAACAATTAATCCAGTCATCCTGCCATCGATCCAGCTCACCCTACATTTTGAAGATCTGCCGGCGACAGCTTAGAGTTCATATTCTGGTAACCTATGTTATTAACATAATCGCTAATTTTATCAGCC